CAGGTAGTTGGACATTCCTCAAGGGGTCTCAGATTGGAGAGGGTGAAGGCCAGACTGAGGGGCCCTTCCCTGCCCCCCGACCCCAGTGCACGAATTTCTTGCACTGGGCTACTAGTTTTATATAAATGAAACCACAGAATGTGCGATCTTTTTCATCTGGCTTCATTCACTCAGCATAATTATTTTGAGATTCATCCAAGGTATTGTTTATAACAATATCTCATACTACCTATTGCTAAATAGTGTTATGTGGATATAACTACAATTTGTTTAGAATGGAATGAATGGGATATATGGTAGGTGTACGTTCAATTTTTAAGAAACTAGCCAACTGTTTTTCAAAGTAGTTATACCATTTTTCATCCCCTTCTTACTTTACTCTGATGGAATTCTGCCACACTGGGGAAAATTTCTAAGTGTATTCCTTAAATTTGCTTAATCCAGCTGGGCCATATGGCTCATGGTTAAACGTTGACCTATGAACCAGGAAGTCATGATTCTATTCCCAGTCCAGGCACATGCCCAGGTTGCAGGGCTGATCCCCAGTACGGGGCGTGCAGGAGGCAGCTGATCAATGATTCTCTCATCATTGATGTTTTTCTTTCTCTCCCTCTCCCTTCTTCTCTGAAAACAATAAAAATATATTTTAAAAAATAAATTTGCTTAATCTACTTTCCCAAGGGGTTAGATTTTTCAGTTTGGCTTGTCTTGAATACATGTGTTAAGAATTGGACAAAACAATTTCAAGGAAGCAGAGGATATAGAAGAGAGAACACATAAAAACTTCTAAAAATTTTACCGAGGTTTTTATCATGAGAATTGCAAAAATATCCTTGTTAATCACCTAGATTAAAATGCAGTTGGGAGATAAACTTACCCTCGTCTTGTGTCATTTACCACACAGTGATAGGTAAATGTTCCAAACATTTGAACTCCTAAAATTCCATAAAGAAGCAGAAAGAAAAGTAAGAAAATTGAAACACTCCATATTTGTTCTCCCGATCGCCTAGGGGGAAAAAAACATAAAATAGGTAAAACTTATTTTTAAAAAGTCATAAACTTCCTCCCCTTAACTTATGTGAAAGTAGTGCTTACTTTAAAATATTTGTAATTCTGGTCCTTGGTAATTCAAATCGGAAATAAATTCGGAATGCTCGGATCATAATTAGTGGCCTTGGGATCCGCAACATGCCCCAAGGTGACATCTGATCAACTATATCAGCAATTTCAAATACCTGTAAATTTAAAGGTGAATAAACAAGTTTAGACTTTCTCTTAGCATGGTTTGTAGTGGTGACATATACAAACAGCATCAGGAGGTGCATCCTGTTCCCTAAACTTTGCCCTACATTTTTTTCTACTGAAATCAATTTTCTTTTGAGTACCTCTAGAAGCTACCGCTCTCTTAGGAGAAACAAATCATAAGCTAATGAAAGTGCCATCAATCTTCTTCATTTTCTTAATCTTGGATACTTCATCAAGGCACAGGTTTTATTACAAAAACAAGTGCCAACTGAGAATATAGTAGAAAAAGTGTGCTAAGTCTTCCTAACTAAGCATGTTCTTTGGTGAAACTTTTTGAATATTTAAAAAATGAAATAATGGAGACAGGATTAAAAGTATTATTAGAAAATGTGAAAAAATGTACCATTTACTAAGAGGTGAAATAATAATTGGAAAATGTTTGTCAATCATACAATAGTTATTAAATGGAAAAGAACACATTACTATGCAGGATAAATTAGGCTGTTAGAGAGGTGAGCTTTGTAAAAACAAAGACGGCTTATCAATAAGCACTAGGATAAGTTTGCAGAATGAACTGTGAATTTATTTTTTCTGAATATTTTCATGAAGATTATAGTTACTTTAGTTAAATGCAAAATTAAGACTGATTGAATGTATGGGAATGAGTTCTACCATTTTCCAACAAAATTCCTCCTTTAGAACTTTTAAATATATGTACCCCGTTTCTTTTTATTCCACAAATACTGAAATCTCACCCCATGTTCTTTCCTTTCTTTTCATGAATATATTTGTATACCTGTTCAATAAAAAGCAATTTCTTATACTATTGATTTTCATTTCTTATTGAGAATTAATTCACAAATGTGACTGACAATTACTACAATGTTAGGCTTTTTATTTATAAATTTTAAAAAATAACATAATGTTGTAGAAAAGTATACAGTGGCATTTTATATACATGCTTTTATATATCTAGTTAGATTTTCAATGCAAACTTTGGAAACTACTCACTTATAATTTAAAAGTTTTTAATTACCTGCAACACCAGTGAAACCCAAAGGAATAAGACCATAATTCCATCAAAAACACACCAGCGATCTTTTAAGTAGGCAGTATCCCCCTAAAAATAAATTTCACATGATGTTATCAGGCAAAAGGAATAATTTCAAAAAAGTATCTGTGGAGGGAATAGACAAGTGTTAATTCAGTAAAACCTACCCACAATTTTTATATTATAATTAAGCAGATTTTCAAAAAGAATACCTTTAGCACTTTAAATGACACTATGTATGAGGATAATAATTTAATTTATAAAACACAAGTAACTGCAGACATTTGTATTAAAAATTTAAATGTATGCAAAGGGAAAACATCACAACTTTTTCTCTTAGCCACACAAATTCTATCATTTAAGGAACCAAAGGCCATTCTACTCAATAGGCAGCTTGGTCCTAAACTGTCTTCCTAAAAAGCACACAATGGTCAGTGAAAAGGCTTTTAAACCTGGGGATCAACAACCATCTGTAGATTATTGACCAGAACTTCACCTCAAGCTAAATTAAAAGAGAAGAAGAAGAAATTTGTCTTCATTTTCAAAGAAAATATATACTGTCTTTAATTGGGATTACACATGTTAAAGAATGATACACAAGACATACTGCTTTCATTTTTGAATAGTGAATCTACTCTGACATTAGGATTCTTATTATTTAAAAAACTGAAATTTTAGAAAAATTTTCCTTTGGAATAATAAAACAACAAACCCCATGAAGACAGAATTGAAAGCCTTGAATAGAAAGGCCTTTGCTTTCTTGAGAACGTCCTACTAAGTCATTCCTTCTGCAGAATCCATGAAACTCTAGTCTGAATTCCGTCATATCTGTCATTACTGCCATGAGTGCATCCACACAGAAAATAAAAACAGGGACATACTTCTAAGATTTTTAATAAAATGGTAAGATATATTGCAGGATATTTTAAAAAATTAAATAATTTTCAGAACCTTCCACCGTTAGTAACAAATAGGTTATCAAAGTTACCCCGGGAAGTTTCCAGAAGTATTTTATGCTGTTTGCAAAACTAATGGTATGATAAATGACAAATGCAGTGGACACTGGGTGAACACCTATTTTACATAAGAGGATGCATAATGACTTTACTCAGGGAGCTATATAATCACTCACACACACACACACCCCAATTTTGTGTAGAAAAACAGTTATGTACACAACTAGCTAATACATAGGCAAATAACTTATAATAAAGCTAAAAATATGGTTGGAGAGATAAGATTAATTTTATGGAGAGTTCAGAGAAAACAATGCTAGTTCCCAAATGAATGCACAAGTAATTTTATCAGTGGCAAGAGAATCAACCAAACGTGGTGTGTATTAAGAAGACACAAAAAAAGATATGAAAGCAAACTCTGAGGCTTGGGGTCTGGGTAACTAGGAAGGCAATGACCCTATTAAATTACGTGCTTTGATCATTGTGTGATGATTTAAACCCGAGGAAGAGAACAACTGCATTTCAGGGTGCTGGTGGCTATATACACACAAACACACACATGAAATAATTTAAGAATATTATATCTGTCTTCAGAACCTCACAAGGCATCTATTACCATAGGCATCATAGTTGCCTTGTATATTACACAACTAACTAAAATATAAATTAATTATAATCTACATATAATTTTCTCTGAGCTTAATTTTTATTAACATCCAAAAAATAATGGAATACAAATTAAAGTTGTGCTTTGAAGATTCCCTTGAATTATTTAATACATAAACCAATTTTTTATTTGTTCATTCATTCATTCATTCATTCATTCGATTCCTTCACTCCATGTATAGAACACTTCTATGCACTAGGCCAGTGATGGCGAACCTATGAACTCATTTTTTTGGGTGATTTTTCTTTGTTAAATGGAATTTAAATACATAAAATAAATATCAAAATATAAATCTTTGTTTTACTATGTTTGCAAATATCAAAAAATTTCCATATGTGACACGGCACCAGAGTTAAGTTAGGGTTTTTCAAAATGCTGACACGCTGAGCTCAAAAGTTTCGCCATCACTGCACTAGGCAATGCTCAAGGCATTGATGATAAAGGAGTGAAAAAAAATAAACTCCTGTTCTTATGTAACTTACATTCACAGTTAATTTTTAAAAAATGAAAATTATACAGTAAATGTTATGCAGAAAAATAAAAGTGTATATTTCAAATTAACTTTTATTAAACAAATGGTTATTTACTTGTATGTTAGGCAAAAAGAGAGAGAAATATATCGCTTGATCTTCATTTTAAGAACGAGGCATAGTAGTGATTGTTTAAAAACTACAAAGACATCCAAAAATGAAAAGTGAAATTTTATGGGACTCAACAGAGAACTGTTTTAAAATAGGAACAATTGAAAGTAAATGTTATGAAGGAAACAGAGTAATTATAGATCCTTGTGTGCACAGGCACTCAAAATAATGAGTTTATGTGGTATTTTTTCTCAACTGTATTATTTTACTTATTTTTTGTCATTGAAAAATGTCATATGTAGTGTCACTACAATTAACCTCTTTTATTGCTCATAATCTGCTTTAATAATGAATTATATTCAATAAGATAGAAGCTGAGAGATTCCAATATATTGAGGATTATTTAAAATGTAAAAAGTGAGGATAAATAGTGATTTTTTTCTTGGGATGGGAATGGAAGGGTCCAAGAGAGATATAGTTTTCACAGTCTATCCATACATATCTCTTGATTAATGACCATGTATTCCATTTTTTAAACGGATTTTTCAAAATTAAATTTTTTAAAGGTGAACATTTTAGATTTAACAAACATCAGTTTGTTAGTTGCCACAAATAAAGTTCAATTTGAAAAATGTGGGCCTTGCAAATTAAGAAAGGAAAGCTATCAATAAGATAATTGGCTGAGTTTTTACTTCATAGTTACTATATAAATCTGTTTGCTAAGGAAATTGATGTTGTAAATCTGACCCAACTATATAAAAGGACAGATTATTTTTTTCCAGTTTTTATTTATTTTATTTATTTTTTTAAATTTCTTTATTGATTAAGGTATTACATATGTGTCCTTATCCCCCTATTACCCCCCAACACCCACTCATGCTCTCATCCCCCTGTTGTCTGTGTCCACTGGTTAGGCTTATATGCATGCATACAAGTCCTTTGGTTGATCTCTAGGACAGATCATTTTAAAACATTTCAGACACCATGGTAGGGATCCTGAGTAAAACAAAGCATGCAAGCACATTCTAATTTCAAATCACCTCTTGATATGAAAACTGGCTTAAAGAACCAAGATGTCAGCGAAGGCAAACGCCTGTACTCACTGACTCCCACAACCACATCAAAATTACAACTAAAATATAGAACAACCATCATCCAGAACCTTGAAAGCTGGCTGAATGGAAGTCTTACAACTAGAGAAGTAAAGGAGGAAGCACACAGAGACTGGTAGGAGGTGCAGAGGTGAGGAGCAGGCTGATCAGGCACCCATGTGTGCCGCTTTTTAATCGCCTTTTTTAATTGGGAGGGAGATTGCCTCTACGGAGGCTGCCCAGAGGAGCAAGGGGTCCCAGCCCCACACCAGATGCCCAGCCCAGGGTTCCAGAGCTGGGAAAAGAAGTCCCTATTAGCAGTAAGAACTATGGGCTGATAAAAACCAGTGGGCCTGGGACTCAGTGACACATAGGATGCTGGTGACCCAGCTGCTCCTCTTAGAAGGCCTGAACCACGAACTGAATTTACAAGCTCCCACCTCTTCTGAGCTCCAGTGCTGGCAAGGCTCTGGGTGACCCAGACACATACTAGGAGAAATTAGCCTGTCTGGCATCAGTGCAGGAACTCGGGGTGGCTTTCTTTTAGATGGAGGTGTTCACAGCAGTCATTGTTCCTGTTCTGGGACCTCGTTGTAGGGTTGACTGGCAGCCATTTCTGTTTGCTCAGCCCTGGAGATTCTGAGACCCCCACCCCACCCAATTTATAACCCCACTCAAGCTGTGTGCAGCTGCTTTTGCATATGAATGGCCTATCCTTTCTCAGGCTAAAACCTGTCAAACAAGTTGCAGCTGGGTCAGGGAGTCCCAAACCTATCAATAAAAGGCTCAAGACCCACACCAGCATAAGCCTGCCTTGCTTCACAGCTGAGCCTCATCTGGACACTTCCCAACCCTATACAAAGAGAAGGAATCTGCAGATCTCTCTGTAGCTCCTGCTGGGTGGCCCCGGGCAGTGGCTGACTTTGCACATCCCTGGAGACCCACACCAAGACACATCATAATTAAAATGCCAAGGACAAAAGACAAAGAGAGAATCTTAAAAGCAGCAAAAGAAAAGCAGTTAGTTACTTACAATGTGCAGGAGGCAGCTGATCAATGTTTCTCTCTCATTGATGTTTCTAACTCTCTATCACTCTTCCTTACTCTCTGTAAAAAATCAATAAAATATATTTAAAAAAATATGAACAACAAATTGGCAACAAATACATATCTATCAACAACTGAATCTAAAAATAAATGAATAAAAAATCTGATGAACAGACTAAACTGATGAATGGAATAGAATCAGGGGGATGGAAATGGAACAGACTGATGATTCTCAGAGGCAAGGAGCCATTGGGGGATGGGAAGAGTTTAGACAAAGCTCTTATATGCATGTATGCATTACCCATAGACAAAGACAATAGGGTAGCAAATGCCTGGGGTGGGGTGGGTACTGGGTGGAGGGGAGCTATGGGGAGCAGGGGAAAAAGAGGGACATCTATAGTAATCTCAACAATAAAGATTTTAAAAAACACAAGAAAACTGACTTAGCAAAACTTCTGCTATACAACATAGAAAACTATTTTTAAGTTAGGAAGTGATTTCAGTTGCTTTGTTTAGAGTGTTTTCTGCTTTAGACTTTCCAGATATTCATAGTGGCATGTACCTGTAGCCAACAAGACCACCACACACTGGGTCAAATAGGACTGGCTTCTTATTTTTTTGGTAAAATATGTGAAATAATCCACTGAGCATATAATTTCCATATTATTTTGGGGTTCATGTTCCCAAGAGTCATTCAATATTTATAAAAAAACTTTAATAAGCAGTG